ATTTTCTTCTATAATTCACGGAAATAATATTATAAATTTGTATATTTAATTTTTGTATGTTAGTGGCCATTGATAATATTTTGATTGCTACCTCTTATGTCATTGTTGTTGTTTGAATTTGTTTATTTTATTTTCAGACTTCAGATTTTGAAAACAGTTTTAAAATCTTGTTTCTATAGGTCAGCCACATGAAAATTATAAGCTAGCTTTTGTCAGGTGTTGCTCCTATGGCGGTGTGATGATTGCATTTAGTATTTGTTATCTTTGTGCTTTCATTGTCATCTTATGCTACAATATAAATGCAGAGAGATTTTTTTCAGTTTCTGTATGTGATCCAAATTTCTTTCCTAATTGAAGCAATCTGTTGTGTGTGTCTATATAAACAGAAGCACTTATGAAAAGTGTCATGTGTTTGTTAAGGGTAAAAACACTTATGGTGGCTTTTTAAAGGTTTAAAATAGAAACAAAAATACATGGAGTTAAATCTCAAGCTTCTCTAAATTCCTGATTGTAAATATACACAACAACATATATCAAGAGGATACAGTGAATGTACTTTAATTATTTCTACATTTAGCTATTATACATTTGTCTATTTATACATATAAATATTCAGAACAGGTTGCACTCTTACAACTAAATTTTACTTTACATTTTGTATTTATTTCCAGGCTAAGCTGCCTAGGCTGAATGGCACTATGAATTGAGAAATACGGTGTGATGTGCTGTGTAACTCCTTAGTTTGTTTATGTGCACTTACGATCTATTGGCATAGATTATGTTTTAGGGTTATGTTCAGAATAGGGCTTGGCAGTGGGAAGGAAAACTGTTCTGCCAGCTGCAGTCTATAGAAGGTGAAGCCTTCTGGAGGAGAGGGAGGTGATATTTTCCCTAAGAGCTGCCGAATACATGTCGGGGAAGTCTTTCCTATGGTATAGGCTGAAACAGATGGAGAGAGGGAGGAAGGAGAGCGAGACAGACAGCAGCAGGATGCAATAGATGCAGGAGACACTTTACAATCCCTTTTAATTTCTACTCTCACTTTGAATTTAATCTTAAATTAGTTCTACTAATTTATATTCTAATAAATCTAGCTTTAGACCCTTCTAGAGATTTGGGATGTTTGATTTAATAATAGGTCCAGGCAAATCTTTCTCAAAGTTTTGGCGAACCAGAACTATCCTCATGATGAAAATAAATCCTCCAAGCTGTAAAACTTCTTCAGCATACTTTTGCAGTCCTCAGAAAGATGGGAAGAAATGTTTGCCCAGTGTCAGCTCTGTCATTTGCACCCAACTTCATTTGCACTGTTGAATCATACAACTGCATGTGGCAGTGCTCTCCCCTTCGTTCAAGTTGTACACACTTTAGGTACCTTCCCTGAATTAGAATCATCTATGAAGAGATACATATTTCTGCTTTGCAGCATCCGCTCTGTGGCCAGGATAGGTTTAATGATTTGTCCCTCTCTACTGCAGGCCTTTCTGGAATAAAAAAAAATCATAATTTTTGTCCATTAGTGCGAAGAAATGTGCTCCTTCTGAATAGTTTGGTGAAGTTCTCCTTGCATTTTGTAGGCCTGGCTTGGTGTAAGTTAAAGGTCCTTTGGCACATTTGAAGAGTCCCAGGGCGAGTTCCGTGTGCTGGGTCTCAGAACTCTTCTTGAATAACACAAGTGGTGTTCCTTGCTCTTCAAGTACTGCAGAGGAGATAATGCCTACTGTGTGGGACATATATCTTTGATACTATTGATGGAATGATTCCTATTTAATAACACCATAAAATACTTTGGGATATCCTGAGTATAAAAGGTGCTATATGTAAGCGACTTTCTGTTTTTCATGTTTTACTGTTTCAACAGTATTGTAGGTAAAAATGCTTTAAAAAATGTGGAAGTATTTTTCGGATTTTACAGATGGTAAAGTTAAGAGGAACTGCATAGTTTAACATCTTTTATCAATGCAATGACTTTTTCTGCGTTCCTGGAAAAAGAAGTTCCTATTTTCTTGGCTTTTGGCAAGTAAAACATGTATTTAAAAGTAAACAAACAAAACAGCAACAACAAACCCCTGGAGAAAAGCAGTCATATTTTTTTAAGAGAAAATTACTTTGAAATTTCTTAAACTTATGTGCAGCAAAGCTGTTCATTCATATGTAATTGGGAAACAAGAGTCCTTTGTCTTTTCTCAATTTTGCTTTATGATGAGGTCTTAGGTATATATCACTGCTGTTTTTTGGCTGAAACTGTGCATCTCCGAGAGGGCACAATCTGGGCTTAGAGGAAGACTGTGGCATTTTTAAAGGTCATTTTCTCGATATTGTGAGCAAATCAACAATATCTTGTCCAGAAGGCTTGTCTACACTGCTTCTTGCATCTTGTAGCCTTTGCAGTAGCCAGAATTTCTTTACAGGTACTCACTGTGATGCTAGTCCACTGCGCATTTACAATAACTCTGTTTGCAAAGATTCATGCTAAAGCAGTGATTTGTATTTTGTGGGACCCCAAGTTGACCAGATCAGGAAATTTAGCATATCTATACATTATTTGTAGCCTTTTGACCTTGCTATTCATGATTATTAGAGGATTTATTAATCCCTTTAATAGGGGTCAATCTCTACTTGCCATCTTTTGCTATCCTGCTACCTTTAAATATGTTCTGGTGCAATGATAATCTTACTGTTAAATAAGTAGATATGGCACACTGTTATGAATAGAGTCAATGAGACTTTATTAATTACATTTACATGGTTATAGAAATGTAGAGGAGTATTAATAAATAAATGGGGTCTCTTAAATTTAATATTTATTCATCTTTCACCTTCATAAGTTTGCAAATACCTGATCAAAACTCATTAACTAAGACATCTAGATAAAATTATTCTTATTTGAATAATGGAACTGTGGTGGCTAATAATAGCAAAACTGGACTTTTCACCTTTGAAGGTCATGGTAATTCCTTTTATGTAACTCCTTTATTTTCTAATTTTCTTTCCACACTCAGTTTAAAAAACAAAACAAAAAAACCAACAAACAAACACACACAAAAAAAACCCCAAAACAAAACCCCAAACCATTTTCTTTAACTGTTAAGACAATACAGGAGGCTCTATTCATGCTTCATTGACCAGCAGGCTTTTTTTTCTCCTTCTAAGTCAGGCTTCCCATGGGATACAATAGAGTGTATTTTTTCAGATGATATGTTGCTACAGAAAAGGTGATTGTCAGCAGTAAACAAACTGTTGAGTCCAACAGAAGGCTGACACAGCTTTTTCCTGCCTTGACTTAATGTTTCACTCTCTTTGTATTTACTGATTTTGTTTTTATGATCACATTTTTTATTTGTTACACATTGTGCGTTTGGTGTTGGTAACTAGAAGAATGTCATCAAGAGAGGGATCAAAACAGGGCTTCAAAATTACTCACTGGAATGTAGCATCAAAGATGACTCGCATCTAATCATATTTTAATATCCACAAAATAATAATCTGAATCATGTACATTTACAAGTCATCTCCTCATTTCCTGTGACAGAGGAAAAAACAGCATGTTTGGATCCCTGTGGAACAATAATGGTCAGAGTTAGAAGATTTATTCTGTTAGATCTGACTATATCTGCCCCTGTAACAAAGCATCCAAGATCCACCCACCACATCCACCTTTGGTTCACAGCTGAGTGTTGCACAAGGGGTATTAATCTCCTAACACAATTTACATCTCTGAGGGCTCTACTGATTCCTGACTATCTGACTGCACTGAACGTTGCCTGCTGGGATTCTTCACGGCACCCTCTATGAACTGCAGCAACAGTCATCCCTGGTGACTGGGTCTTTTTCTTACATGATGGAGGTGCTGGAAACCTGTTTCGCCCTGACAAATCCACTCCCGCCCCCCTTCCTCCTGCGGAAAAGGTCCTTTTCAGTCATTCCTCGTGCTGTGACCCAACTAGGGGTTAATCTCATTCCTCCAACTTTGGGAACACAATGGGACAGATCAAAATTTACATCTTCTGACTCATCCAAGTCATTTTGTGCTCCTTCCAGCAAGAGATAAGCATGGTTTGGGTCATCTGAGGATGGGTCTTTCTCCCTTTTGTACTTGTGCCAACTTTGGCTGGGCAGCAGGGCAGCGCTGCTGGTGTGCAGGGACAGAAATGGCGTGAATGGGAACTGCCTGGCAGACTCCATTCTTTCACAGGTTGAAAGAAAACTGTGTAGAACAAGAGTCATTTGGAAGTGAAATACAATCTTTTTGAGTCAGCACTAACCTGCCACTTGTTTCTCTTGTACAAAGAGTTTATATCGCTTGCAACTTAGGAAATCTCTTAGAATTCTGGCAAATAGGAAAGGATGTGCTTGATGGTCACATAATTTCTGTTCAAAATTCCACTGTGCCTTTGTTAGCAATCTTGTTCACTATGGTATCATGCCTTCATATTATATAATTTTGCTGTAGATGCAATTGTTTTTCAAAATTTTTAAACTTAGTCATTCTAAACTTTGCTAAAGTAATGTAGCTATGTAAACCATTTATATAACACAGCAAAGTGTAAGACTGTAAAACTAAAATATTTAAATGCATTTTGAACAGAATGTTTGAATAATTATTTTAGAGTAAAATTAGAGAACTGAGAACACTCTTAACAATACTTGATACTGTGTTTTCGAATAATTGCTTTGTAAAGAATGATTGTTTCAAGTTATGTGTAATACCTGCTCTGACTCCGTGATAGAATCTGTTTCTTAATTCAGTTATTTTTCTTAACTTTTTTTTGTGATTGTTTCATTTAATGTTCTTTTTTTTTTTTTTTTTAATTGCTTCATGACATTATAGTGCAAATATTTAAACAGGGAAATGCATGTGAATAATCCCGACTTGTAGATTACTCCATGCTTTTTAAAATAAAAGTGAATGGTAAATTTTTAGGTGCTTGCATAACATATTGTTAATATATATACATTTGTATCTATTTTATTATTTTTAATTTCTGTTTTGCCCACAGACAGCCTTTTAATTGATTACCAGTTTACCTTCAGCTTATTACAAGAGGATGATCGCCATCACACTGCCATAAACTTTATAGCGAATCCAGAACAGGTAAGAAAATATTATTAACTTTAGACAAGTTTTGGAGTGTCATGATTAAGATTTCCATTGTATTTGACCATGATTGAAAGTTTCCCAAGTGCTTATAAGCTATTAGAGATATTTCAAATCTTTTTGAGAACTGAAAATTATTCCAGTGCATTCATTGAAAAAAACTTTCTAAATGGTAGATGTATTGCAGATCAAATAATACATAAAAAAAGTTATCAGCTGGTTTATTTTATTGTTACTCTCATGAATAATGGGTTTTAGTATCTTCCTGAGATGAATTAAAGGAGTGTACCTTCAGTTAAGAAATTCTTATTAGCAGATGAGAAAAGTAATGTTTGGATTGTAATTAAAATGTAGCCATATGCCATATATTTTTTTCTTTAGTTTTATAAAGAAAATTATTTCATTATTTTTATCACAATCTGAAAAGGTAACTGGTGTAGTTATATGCTTACTTCTACCCTGTTCTTACTGAAGCAAAAGAGAGGATTTGCTTTGGCTCTGAATCATTACCATTTCTATTTATGTTTAAAATGAAAAATGGAAGAGGAGTAAAGGGCTATATTCAGTTATGTGCATTAGAGTTATATTCAATACATTCTGATATATTTTGTTAACTTCAATATCTTTTCTTTTTTATGTAGTCAAATAAAAATTTGGACATATCGATTAATGCATCAAACAACTTCAACCTCAATATTACGTGGTCTATTGGTTCTACAGGTGAGGGTGAATTTTGGTATGATGACTTTTTCCCCATATGATTTCATGATCCTTTGAGGTATTTTAACCTGTTTGTCTCTTTGTTGCTAATTTTGATAATAAAACTTTACCAAATGTGTACTTTTGCCATTATCATTATGCCATTATTAATTATATTATTTAAACTTCAGATGATAATTTGCAATCTGAACAAAGCTTCATTAATATGTTAACTTTCTCTCCTATTCAATTAAAATTACTTTGGTAGGAAAAGCTTGTAGTCTATTTAAATTTTTAAAATGATAGTGTTATGAAATGCTGTGATTTTAATTAAGATAAATTGCTTCCTTAACTACTGCAGAGACTGAGATTTTATTTCTTTGTTTCAGTGTTGAAGCTAAAAATTTAATTATTAACCTTAACATTGATATCAAACAATAAAGTTCTTCTGTGTATGCTGATAAAAGGAGCTGCTTATCTATTTTTCTCCAACTTTGAACCCCATTACTCTTCTTTGTTTTGAGAAGGAAGAAAAGCTTTATTTAGACAGTTTCTCTGAATTGGTTCTATTGACTTTCTGAAAACACATCCAAGGAGAAGCATGATGCTTAAAATGAAATAGTACTAAAATTAAAAAAAAAAAAAAAACTTTTTCAAGAAGGTTCAGAGTTTGTCTTACATAAACTCATGAATTTCATCAAAGTAATGCTGAAGTATTTTAACATACCATAGTTATTAAATTCTATTTATTCCTTTATTTTAACTTAGCACAATCACCCATGTATTTGCAAAAAAGGATGGATGTTTCTTAGTAGGTGTATTATTAAAGCTTTCATGAACAATTAAAACTCTACAGCAATAATGTAAGATGTAGACAAATTCACTTACAAGCTTGATTAACCTATGAGTTTTTATTGAAACTGAATGTAAATTACTAGAGGAAAGAATATTATCTGTTTAGCTGACAATGTGAACTTTATTCTAAAATTCATGTAACTTCTATCAATTTTATGATTAATTCATTATGTTTTGAAACTAGTGTAAGAATTTCTGTGAATTCTGTGTATGTATATGAAATGTACCTGGTGTGCATGTAAACCCTAATAAAGGGTTGTTAAAGTTGTAGAATGAAGACACCAAAAGTAATTCAAGAATTTAAGTTTCTCATACAAATTGACTTTGGCACCTATAATGATGATTAATATTGGTCATAAACATGTGTATCTACATATGTTTATTTTTTTAGCTGGAACAATATCTGGAGAAGAGATTCCTGTTGTTTCTAAGGCTAATATTAAGGAATACAGAGATAGCTTTTCCTGTGAAAAATTTAACTTTCGGAGCAACCCAAACATCACTTTCTATGTTTATGTCAGCAATTTCTCCTGGCCAATCAAAATACAGGTTAGTATGACTGTTTTGTGCTTATAGAGATGTTGACATCTTAGCTTTACATTGACTTTCATGTTTTCACTTATACAGAAAGTATACAAATAGTATTATTTGCATGCTGTATTTTCTGTTTAAGAATTACATTATGATGCTTGTGCTTTCAATAATGAATCAGACCTCAGACATTAATTTTAAAGTCTGAAGTTAAAGTTATTGAACATAAATGTTTATTTGTAATATCTCTTGTGCATTTAGATGTATACACAGAAGAGGGCATACAAATATGTATGTATGTACCTAGATATTTCATTAATCATTAGCTTTCTTAGCCTCTGATTTTTTAATGGTTGAATGTTTGTATCATATTACAATATTAAAACTATCAGTTAACACTAAGTGTATTTGGTTAGAATTTATTTTCTTCTTCATTGGAATCAATTTCACCGAGTATTTACTGGAATAATGAGATACTGTGCAGTGGCAGACTCAAAAAAATCAATGCAATGATGGTTGTTTTTTTTTGGTTTGGTTTTTTGGTTTTTTCCCCAGAAGTTTCAGCAATATTTATAGTTACCATTACTATAGCTGCGTTTGTAAATACTCTGTCCCTTGCACCAATGGAGGAGCTCTTTATATGGGTGACCAATTTTTGGCTGTAGCTCCCTTAGGAAATTAATTCTTAAAAACTAAATTGTTAAAATGATAATAAAATTTCATAATTCCTAGTGATTTGCTCAGGAAGTCAGAACAAGCTCAAAATACTTGCCAGTTAACCATAATTACAGATGTTCTACAGCTTTCCATTTGGTCGAACCTCCTCCTCCCACCCCTGTTTTTGTAAAATACAGAGCTTGTTTCATACATGTATACGATAAAGTTACCTGCTGAGGAGCCTCCTGGATTAAAGCAGTCATCTTCTAAATAAACTGGCAGAGAAATATTCCTGTGTTGTGTTAAGTAAAGCTAGACTTTTCTTAATCATACACGAGTGTTAACTGTAAATATGTGTTACACAGTGTTGAAAGATGAATTTGTGCAACTTATTAAAATTTATGCATGCACTATTGTATATATATATATATAAAAAAAACAACAAAACAAACAAAAACCTGAAGTTTACCTGCTTTCTTTTACTCTTCATATTCAGGTTATTTTTTGCACTCACCAATCCTACTTTCTAAGGATAGAAAAACTTCAATTGCCAAATAGCCTTCCTAAAGAAACCCATGAAGCAATTTAAGCTGTAAATGCATTGCACACTCCTTTCACCTTTAAGATTGGAAGGTGCCTATATCATTATTGTAAGACGAATGTTATTAAGGTGATGTATTCCTAAGATGTGCTACTCTTTGTCAGATGTCGGCGGATCGCAGCTCCTCCTTGTGCTGTTTCCACTGCAGCATAACACCTTAATGGCAACACGTTTTAATGCTTGATGAAGGGAATCCCTGATCATTGGTTACATCCCTTCTTTCTTTTTTTTTTCTGTTTTTAATCAGACTTTTCCTTATCTGCCACAGGTGCGCAGATTTTTTTTGGATTTATTCTTGAGGCACGTTGAAATTCATTAGTCTAGACAGTTCTGTCTCAGAGATGATCGTGCTTGAGTATTGCATTCCTTTTCTGGCCTACCCATTTTTCATAAAAAACTTCTTCCATCTAGAAATTAATTCACTGCAATTTTATGCAGTGGAAAAGGAATGCTAAGGTCCAATTATGGGAGCCATTTCAGGATGTTAATATTGTCCTCTGTATTTGCAAGATTATTATTTAGCTCTCAAAATTTTTTGTGCTGTGATTTTTTTTCTTTTCCAAGGAAGTATCCGAAGTTCACATTACCCATATATATTTCTTATATTTGGTGCTCTAGCAGTAGATAACATCTTCAAATAATAAATGGAGTAGGGAGCTTTTCAGAGAAAAGAAGTTTAGTTTTATATGTTAACTTTACGATTCTGTATATAATAGAAATTTTAAAAATATATGAGCCTTCCTATGACTTAGGGTTAAGAGAGGGAAGTCATGGTTCATCCCTATGCAGTGGCTGAAGTTTCCAAGGCCAGTACTGACTGGGCTCACAGTTCTAGTGTTTATGATCTTCTACTTCTATATCTCAATATACAAAAGTGGTTGCTATCAGTCTATTACTGTATTAAAGAGCGCCCATTTAAAGGATGGTAATTCTTACAAAACTGATGTTGCTTTTATACTGATGAAAGGACTCTTTGGGAGAGTCAGGATACTGATGATGGGTTCAAGTTCTGGTTCGGAATGGAGAACTCTTCTAGACGGTGTCTGAATTAATTTTCTAATGGTCTAGAAAGCAGTTTCCTGAATTAGCCACCTTTGCCTTTCTGTGATGATTAGAGAGTAATCTCTGCGTTCTAGTGCAGGGCTTTGGATGTCAGGGAGGTTGGCCTATGGATATATGGTCTTAGACACCAAACTATTTGCACTGTAGTCCTTTCCTCTAATGCAGTCATGCTGCATCGGTCACATCGTGTTGGTTAAAACCGTAGCGATATTTTATATCAACACAGTACTGAAGGTTTCATTTAATCCTGTTAGAGCTAAGGAAATTACTGTGGCTTCCTTCAGAGGTACTCTGTTCGTGGGAATAAGTAAGGTAGCAACATGAAATTTGGCACGTGCCTTTTACACAATGCTTTTGTAGAGGAGTAAATAGTTCAATCAGTTAAATGGCATTTTCAAATACAATCTGAGTAGCAGTCTCCTGTACTTACATTATTCATTGTAACTTGTCAAGAACAGATTATATAAAGAATGAGTTCCTCAGGACACAGAAATAGTGACCTTACTTCCCTTTTAACTGATATTTCAAGGTGTCTTATTGATATGCATTTCACTGCTCTCCTTTTACGCCTCCTGTTATGCCAGCACTGGAGCTAAGATTATTTGTCTCTTTCACTGGGAAGGTTTGAGTGTTGGTGTTGGAGTTCTTGCACACACCATTTCCTTTTCTTTAGGAGAAGGAACGGAACTCTCCATTATAAAAGACAGTTTCATTTTTCTGTTAAAGTCACCTATATTACCTCTATTTTTGCATTCAGTTCACTTCAAGATTTTCGTGACTACACGGAAAAACTCTACATCCCAGCAGGTGGTTGTTTATTTGGATCAATGGCTTGCAGTTCCTTCCTCAAGTACTTTTATACATGTTACCTGTTCAGCAATCTTGGAGGTTTTTTCCTAAACCTTAATAAATCCCTGGTGATTCTAACACAAAACGTCCTCTTTTTGAAATATAACTTCCTGACTTTGAAAAAAGGATACGTGATGGTTGTGTCTGTAAAACAATTTCCTGAAGATGTGCTGGTCTGCGCTAACTCTTCACCAGCAACTACCCAGTGACCCATTTTATTTTTGTCACTGGTGAGCCTAATGACCTCAGAATACAAGTTCTTCAGCAATGCCTAGCAGTGCATTACTTGCCGACCATAGAAATTATGTAGGAAATTTTCCGTTTCAGATGAAGTCCTGCTCTCTTTATAAAAATATAGTCTCGGTTCCCATTAGTCAGCGCCCTTCTTCTGTCCATAATGGCTCTGGGCGCACAGCTGGGTGCTCAGCCGGTAAGAGAGCTCAGCAACCCTCAGGGGAAAACGCTGCATTTAAATTTCCTGATGCTAAAAGCATTTTATTCAGCTATAAGATCTCGTCTTCCTTGACATCAAAGGAGAAGCAGAAATGTGACATAGTTGCATAAGGGGTCATTAGAAAGGTGGTGATATAGGACATCTTCAGCTTGGAGCTGTTTCTACAAATAGACCTGTTATTGGGTGTAATGTGGACAGCTACCAGTTTTGCTCAGAAGTATTTAGTTTTGCACTGGCACACAAACGTTGGCTGTTTTTCTGTTGAATTATTGGAAGAGTTTATATTATACTTTTTCTTCATTTCCTGTAGTAAGGATGAATACAGACCCTTAAGCTTAGCTGTTCCCGACTTCCATAGGCAACAGTAGTTTGTGCAACTTTTCAGAGAATTCTGTAGAAAGTATCTTTGTTATTAGAGGGTTCGAGTGTCCAAGTAATAGGACGTGATTTATCATCCAGCCTTACCATCCCTATGTTTGAGCGTCTTTGACAGTCCCAACCCTTTAGGTGTCTTATATATCTGTTACATCAGACTCCATGGGAAAATGCTGCTGGCTTAAATAGGCTGGATTTCTGAACAGAATATGTGGCAAAGCCCCATAACTTGTTTCTGCTCATTTTTATTTTATTTTGAGAGTAGATGTAATTCAGACTGCACCGGTAATGGAATTTGAAGGCTGTAACGTTTATTGAAAAGCAGTAACTCAGACTGTAGCCAGCATGTCAAATAATGGTCAGTGGTCCCTGAAGTAGCAAGCAGTAATAAAGCTTGGGCTTCTGACAGCTATGCAAATATTAATAACAGCGGTAACAACATGTTCTTCAGTCTCAGGAAACTAATTTTGTGGCAAGGGATTTTTGTCATTGAAGTTGGTTACAGATGTCTTTCCTTATATATATATATTTTTTTTTTTTTTCTTTTCATCAGTTTCTCCCATATTCTGAAAAGTAGCAAGTGCATATGAAAAAACCAAATAGCCTTAAAATGCTGTCCTGGCTATCGGCTTTTTTGACTCTCTCCCCAACGACAG